CAAGGAGGCCGCCCTCGCGAAAACCACCCAGGACCGGTGAGCTGTAAAACAGTTGCAAGGGCAATAAAAGGCAGCTGGGTGGGTCCCCCAGCTCCTTTCTTGTCTACCTCACTGTCCCCGGCTTACCCCCTCCCCCCGCCTGCAGAAACAATCAAACAAAGGCTCAAAAGCCAGGAAATGTCCAATTCACTTCCTTTAGAGTTTATTAATTGCCCACACCCATCACAAGGAAACTTGGCTGTGTTCAGTGACAAACGGAGGGCACCGGGAAGCCGCAGACCCCCTCCACGCAGCGGGAAGCCGTTAGAGCCAGCCTGGGCATCTCCAGAGAACGGTCCCGTCGCCTCAACGCAGCTGAGAGCGGTGTGGCAGCCGAGTTCGGGCCAGCTCGGCGTTTACTGTACCTCCCAGCTTCCTCACGCCTTTGTTTGGCACTGGGAGGAGGTTGGGATTTGGGGTGCAACGGTGAAGTCTGGAAATTGATGCTCCCCCAAGAGCACCTGTTGACCCTAGAAAGGGCATTTCCATGCATTGCCACGTTGCTGCCCCCCCACGTTGTAAAAACGAAGACAAGGGCATGGTTTTCAGGATCGGCTCTGACGACCTGCACCATCGCGGTAATATAGGGCTAAATCCAGAGAAGGAAAACTGGCATAACGACTTTCTATAGTCCCTGTTTTGTTTTTTGTTTGTTTTGTTTTTTTAACTAGTATTATTTTCTTCAGTGCCCTGGAAATTGTTGGTGTTTACTTAGGAAGTGTGACACAGTTACTGGGTCCTTAGAAACTCCGCATGTTAACGGGTTTTGATTTGGCTCCCAAATGGCTTGAAAAAGAAACAGTGCACCTGGGGTCAGGCGGGTCATCACAATAACAAAAACCGCGTCTACAAAATAAAAAGCTCTTTTAAAAAGAAAGGCAATCCCGGAAATCCACTGCGAGCCTTCCTGATGACCGTCTAGCTAGGCCTATTCTCAAGTTTAATTGGCAGGCGGTTTATTGGCGCCTTATTGGTGTTGATTGAATTTTGCTCCCAGTTCTTTCTTTTAAGAATTAGCATCTCAAGTCGATTTACCTGAGTCAATTATCTTTTTAGGGTCTGGGTTTGGTCATAAATTTGCAAATTTTATTAAACGCACTTTGTAAATATCCCTCTTCCCAGTTGCCACCCAAATCTCTATTATTTCCTAAGAAAGTTTTTCCTTTTTTCAAGGCTTCCATAAAAAGAAATTGATCAGGGAGCTATATTTGAATTAAGACATATTAAATCGATGACAGATACATATCATGCTGTGTTTAACAAGAGTTGTACAAGGAGGCGGGTTCCAGATTCCGCACGGCTCTGCTGCACCATTATTCACATTTTTACAGCCTTTCCTTCATGCCTTCACTCATTAAACCACTAAATTTCAGCAATTCAATAAAACAAAGCAGTTATAATTTTGAAGAAAAGCTATTTTGAAAGGAGTGGAGGTACCCATTTTATTGCACAATAAAAATGCTCAACGGTCCATATTAGAGGCTAGATTGTGTTTATGTTCTTCTTTCTTCATTCTTTTTGTCTTGTTTTTACTTATAACCTGCAGCATTGAATGCAAAGCTGCCGTTAAGGAAGTATTGCCACTCATTGCCAAGGAATTCAAATAAAGGGAACTCATTTGAGATGTTCTGAGAGGAAATGAAGATGGTGGTGACAATTCCAAATATGCTGCTTTCTCCATAAACCATTCATAGAGATGGCTCAGTTCTCGGTCCACCTTTGCCTGGTTGACTTGAGATGTTCTAAGTCTTTGAAAAGAAAATTGTGAAAGGACTTGAGCTCTTCAAATACAGATGTGAATTTTGTCACTTGTTTGTTAAAATTTTTTCGTTGTGTTTGCACTCATGCCTTTCTTATTTCCCAGTATTTGAATTTCATTGAAACTTAAAGCCCCATTTGATTGTAGTATTTTCTTGGTTTGGTTGTCAGTTTTATAAGAGAAATGTCTTTCTCCAGGTTCACAGGGAAGTTCCCTGTTAAATATTATTCACTTCAATGTAAATGGGGCTATCAAATCAGCCCTTTTGAAAACATTTCTTACCTCTTTCCAGGACCATCTCCCAGATGATGGCTTCATGCAGTTTATTTTTACTTGGTCCGAAAAGGAATTAACATATTTTATGGTATCCCAAAAGAAAAAAAAAATCACATTTTAGTCATTATCACTTTTTAACAAATAATTATTCGCAGGTCAGCAAAATAGAAATTAAAACCCCCAACTTTAAATTTGGGCATCTTGAAACATCACAAAATTTTAAGACACTTTATTTTTAAAAGCTGATATGACACTTTCAGACAGTAAGAACTGCAAAGTTTGGTGGATGCCCCATTTCTCTACCCTCCTGAAAAGTGATGCAGGAACCTATTTCTCTTTATAAACTTATCTGAATACAAATCACTGGAAAGATATGGGGTCTGCTGTTTTTAAAAGCCAGTTTTTATGGTTTTAAAGTAAGACATCTCTCCTGCTAGATCAGTTTATTAGAAAACGATAACAAAATTATTCTATTCATAAATAGCGAAGACATTGCTTGATATTAAAATAATTATTTTCTTATATCTGTTCTAATTTGTCATCCTTTTGAAGAAACTGAGGCATACATGTGGAGTGCGTTTTGGATCGGGAGGAGAAATTCTGCTTAAAGGATAGTTAGCCGCTTTCCTCCGGAGAGATGCTGTTTGGCCTGCCCTGCCACTGTATCTACCAGAGGCAAAAGTTAGAAGCGCAGACCAATGCTCCCACCCCACTCGCTCCGTAGATCTAATTGGAAGTGGCAGATCTAGAACCGATGAGCAGTGAGATTACACTTTGAGCCAACTCCTTTGAGCATGTTGAAAAGGACTCCATGAGCTAAAAAGTCGAGGTAAAACGGTTCCTTTTGGGAAAGATTTATTTTGACTTTACTTGTTTTGCAGAGTCAAATCGCTCAAATTGTTTTTTTAGCCAATAGTACTTTAATATCCATCCTCATTCCGTCTTCTGTCTGTGAACCCTACGTGAGCGTTTGGCAGATTGGGTGTCCTTCTTAAATAAGAAGTTTCTAGCGTCATCTCTACCAGTACGATGATGGGCGAACATCTGTTCACCCTTCTCTTTCAGAGGACAGCCCAGGGCTCTTCCAATGGAGGAAGTAGAAAAAGGTTGGATGTTGGAAGGGACTCTGCGTGCGGTGAAGAGGTGGTTTTTGAAGTTGGGGCTCCTCCCCCCGCCTTTTACTTCCCAGGAGGTTCACCAGCCCTTAGCTATCCCGCGCCCTTCGGCCGCGTGCCGGCGCACGCTCTCTGCAAGGAGCATCAGGGAAACACTGAGCGCTGCGCGCGCACGCCGGGTGCAAACTTTCTGCAAGTGCAACTTGGGCATCCCCGGGGAGGCGGGGACGCGGGGTTCCAGGGGAGGAGGGGGCGCGAAGCGAAAGCGAAGGCGGTGGTGAACACCGGGGCGGATCCCTGCTGGGCCAAGGGCCTGAAAGGGAGCCAATCGGGCAGCCACGGCTGCTGCCAATCACGCAGCTCTCTCCAATCCTACCCGTGCCATTTCCAAAAATCTCGGTCCCACTGTGCAGCTCAAATGTGGTGTTCGCTCTGCCAATCGCTGGAGGACAGAGTGAGAACAGGAATAAGCAGAGTTAGGAGGCCGGGACAAAGAAGTTAAAGAGTACCTAATATATACATGTTTTTGGAGGCGGGCAGAGGAAAAAAAAGTCCCCCCAGTGAGGGTCTTATGGGTCTGATTGTGTAGCTCTGATGGAGCCCCCTTTGAGCAAGAGGAACCCGCCAGCGCTGAGATTAGCAGATTTGGCAACGGCTCAGGCCAGGCCTCTTCAGAATATGACAGGCTTCCAGGCGCTGGCGAGCCCGCCCGCCCACTCCCAACACCGCGCCACAGCTGCGCACCTCCGCCCTCCGGACCTGGGCGCTGACCCTGGCGTGGCCATCACTCCGCTCGGACCCGAGCACATGGCCCAGGCGAGCGCGCTCGGCCCCATCTCTCCCT